GTATGTATTTTCGCTGTTTCATAAAATTTAAGAAACGAGAAAATCGATCTTGATATTTGATTCGAGATAAATATACTGTATAATAGAATAGTATTAAGTTTATTATAATTTGATTTTACGTATATAAATTGAGACGTCTTCGTCAAAGGAATATACGTGGATGATGTTCGAATACAAAGTTTACAGATTGAATTTATTATTCACGATTATTCATCTTCGAATAAATAATAAAGCTATATATATATATATGCAGTAATGAATTCATTATAATTTACAAACATATAATTGAAACATATAATTGAAACATCTTCGTCAAAATGATACAACGTTTGAATCCGTGTATAAAGTTTGCAGAAGATTGAATTCGCCGATTATTCACGACTCTTTAATGAAATCTATTCAGCTTCTCTCTTCGAAACTGTTGTAACGATCTTATCGAACGTTGGTTTGCACTCTGGGATTAATACGATCGTTCTTTGTTATTCTAGAATTTTTCGTTATGAAATGATATTCGTCTCGTTGTCCCCATTTTTTTCTTGATCTTTTATCCTTTACTTGGTTTTCCACGTTTCCACTTTTTCCCTTTTTAATCAATTTATTATTTCACAGCGAACGAATATTTCCATCGTGAATGAAGTGCAATTTCGAATAAAAGAATCGTGGTTCCATTTTATTTTATTCTTACGGATAATTTAACGAGACGTTTTTAATTTATAATAAATTAAAAAATTCGACTTCGGGTCGTAAAATTTCACGGTAAAACGAAACAGAAAGAAAAAAGCCAAGTATACCACACAGCTTTTTGCCTTCCCCATCCTTCCCCTTCTCTTTACGAGGAGAAAAATTGAGACGATAAGTCACAGAATATCAAACCGTCAACATTTTCAATAACAAAATGGGCAAAAAGAAAAACGGAGAGGCCTCCGAAAAAAAGAAAAAAGCGGACACCGCAGCTTTTTCTCGTGCACACTTTCGTCATCATCCTTTTCCATCATTTCCATCCAAGTGGCGCTTTGCAAGTGAAAAATCGAAACTTGGAATTTTCGGATTACCGATTATTCCGTTTGTCTCGGTCGGATTCGTATAATAAATAATGGCCGTCAGCACGGCGGTGCGCGGCAAATGCTCGATGGAAACTCGAACCAATCACGGACGGCAAACGTTCGAGCCTCGGCTCGAAGACCATTATCTCAGCTGGACATCCGAGTATAATTTTGTACTGTCATTTCGCATCCAACTATACAATTCCTCTCGTTGCACGGCCGCGACACCTCGCAATCCGTCAAACTGCCCTCGTAATCGATCGATCGGCCGATCGATGCCTCGCACCTGTTCATCCTCCCTTATCGTGTAATTAGATTTCGCGATGATCTTCATCCCCTCCCTCCAAGCAAACAAATTTGGAGAATTGGAGAAAGCGCGAATACGACCATCTGTTCAAAAAACGTATCAGGAGGTGAGATTCGTGAGATTCTTCGAGAGATCTCCTTATTATTATCAACGTGGTCGATGCACGCGTCTCTCTTTCCACCAAACAATAACAAGTTTGAAAAGTAAGTATTAAAAGAAGCATTAAGAGAAGCATTAATTTATCAACAAAGAAAATCAATCGTTTGAGGGAATTGACACGGCTCGAAGCAAGCAACGAAGAAAAAAAGAAATAAGAAGCTTAAATCAGAGGGATAATCAACGGGCTAATCGGGATTTTCCGATGGACACTGCAGATGTCGTACACGTCCCTGAATGTTTTAATGGTGAAACCGCTCGTTTCGCCGAGGGTACGCGATCGTTATTGGAAAATTTACGCGCGCCTGGTCCGCTTAACGATCTCTCCCCTCCCTCTAAGTCTCTTCCTGAAATCGTCGAGAAATTACCCTGTGAACGGCGAACCGTGGTATTACGCGGCTATTACGTGTCGTCTCGCGGAATGCGATCTCGAAAAGTGGAGAAAACTAGAACCGATCTAATCCGACGTTGATCAGCCTCTCCCTCATTCATCGGTCACAAAGTGATATTGCAGCGGTGGAAGCGCGATATCGAGCAACGACCGCCATCGCTCTCGATTTCCCTCTCGTTCCTTCGGATAAAGGCGGGCTCGAAGAGAGCGAGATCGAAGATTGCGCTCGCCTGGGAATCGCCGAGATTGCTCGATTTAATAGTGGATCGATCGATGCCTCGAGTTTATGGATCCTTTCGCCTTATCCGAACAGACGACGGGTTTAAATTGTTGTCCATCCATTTGGAAATCTTCTGGATAAGCCGATCATTCTTCCTTTCTCTCTCTCTCTCTCTCTCCTTCCTCCAACTCTTTCCAACAAACTCTTCTCACGTTTGATACAATTGTATCTCTCACGAGACGAGGAGGGGGAGGAACGCGCTGCGGCCGTGTCAAGGATGTCTCTCGTCTTGTTTCCGTTTATTGGCCCCTCTCGGCCAGGCCGGTTATCCGCCCGGTTAATTGCACGCGCGGCTGTTATACAGTTAACCGCTCCCCGCATGTGGCGCACCCGGACTCTACCGTCCGCAGCTAGTAGCTCGAATCTATTTATAGTGGCCGCCGGTGCACGATCGTCCCGTTTTCTGGACTCCTCCCAGTTTCTTCTCTCCTCACGAAGAATCGAAACTGGCCAAACGAATCTATCTTTTTCGATTGGATCGAGATCGAGATCGGATTAATTGAATCGGGCGATAAAACGCAGGACGGCGTCCACAAAGGTATATCGCGGATCGTAGTTGAAAAAACTAGTCGGGAGAGGAAAGTGAATACCTCCGCTTTATCTCGGCTCTCCCTCGGCTTCCAGCATCCAGCCACACCTGGCCCCGATCGCGTCCCACCTATATATATATATATATCTATTCCTACACTTGCAACAAGCCTCCTCGACTACGCGCTCGTTCGTGCTGGCCGGCCACTCGCCAGGCTATCTTGGACCGGTGGCTAAGCCCGCCGGATGGATTTACTGCGGGCCACAATCGGTTTTACCGCTCTGTTACACCTCTCTGTAACGCACCTTTAAATTACCTCCTCCTCTCGTTAACCTTCGAGTCGGTTGACAGCTCCAAGATATCGAGGAGAGGAGTTATCCTCCTCGAGCTTCGTTCACCGGAAGATGATTCTTACACTGCACCGCGACGTGTTCCTACTCCCTCAATTGTCCACGTTTAACAAATTTTGTTGAAGAAGCTTCAAGAAGGGCGCTCGATCTTTTACGCAGTAATCATCCACGACGATTCTATTTGTAATAATACCTCGTTGTCCCCGATCGTCTCGTTTTCGTTTCGAAACTCGAGAAGATCTGTTCTGTTGAAGCCGGCGTTCCGGTCTCGTTTCGCTCGTGTCTAATTAGACGGTTCGCCCGTTTCTTATGCATTCCTCTAAGCTCTAGCTGTTTGCCCAGACGGCTTTTTCTGGGCCGGGGAACACGCGTTTTCACCGGAATTACCGTTCTTACCGTTCCAAGAGCGAGATAAATGCCGCTTGATGGACGAATCATGAGGTTTTAATGGCACCCCGCCGGTCATTCGGATCACCGCCTGGTTATTGCTCTCGAGGCCGCCGTCCAGCGTTAGGAACTTCATCTCCTCGCGCGTAAACGTCGCGTTTACGTCGAATTTTCGATAGGCGGGGGCCATTTCTATCTCTGTCTCCGTGTAATGCGGCATTTCTAGATTTTCGAGCACGAATTTCAAAATCGGGGAACAATCAATCATTTCCCCAAATTGAATTTAATTTATTACCCCGAATTTATTATTTCACGGAAAAATAAAAATAGAAGGAAGGATAAAGAAGAGCCGTGGAACATGCTGTGGAATATATACTTTGTAAAGCGACGGATCAATGTTTTATCTTTGCCGTGGTGGTGGATCGAAACGGCTGTTACGCTCGCAATCCATTCGGTCGCGAATTAGAAATTAGCTGTCGTGCATTTACATACCGCGCAGGTGGCCGCCGCTCGAAGCAAGACCGGTCACTGTTTTCAGGGTAGAACGAGTTCCGCCGCGGAAAAAATGCCGCGCTTTGCTCGGCCGCCACTCGAAACCGGTGCAATAAAGATTCATGATCTATAATGTCGCGGGCATTAAGCGACGAAAAGGATCGTCCGTGCAAAAGGCTCGCTTTCAAAGCCCACCTGTCGCGTCCCCCCTTCGCGGAAAAATTATTCTCGAAACGATTCTAAAATTCTCGAAAAATACTGATAAATCCGTCGCGGAGTCGATAGACAATTTTCTTTCAAACGAACAAATTGTTGTGGTCGATTGAAAAAAGCGGGAAGATTTAGTGGCGCGATAACGGCCTGGATTTATTACGAGTTGGGAAGATTTGAAAGTTGTTTTATTCCAGCATTAATCCATCGACGTATTTGCATACGCGGTTGATTTGTTACGATACGGGTTTAATTTCAATCCAGAGAAAAGTAACACGAGATTTATATTTCGACAATTGTGAATAAAACTCGAATACTCTACGTATTCGCCACCATTTATCACGAGGGAAACTAGCGCACCTCAATCCCCTCCCTCCCTCCCTCCCATTAACGTCACATTGATCGACACGTTCCCCGCAAAATTAACTCCTCGTCAAGCCACTCCATAAATACTCCATTCATCCCGCCCCTGCTCGTCCCATAGAAAATTAATTCCACGATGCGCCCTCTGTCGGCGGCGCCAACCTCCTCGACACCAGCGCCTCCGACACCCCTCCAACGAAACGAGGGGGCCAGATTTTTGCCGCTCGTACACCGTTCTTCCTCCTTCTCCCTGCACGTTCAACAGGGATGCCTCGAACCTGTTCTCGGCCGGGCCCACACATCAGTCGGATGTAGTCATCTGTATCAATCAGGGGAGCCGCCTCGGTGCAGGGAGAAGGAGTCGCTTTCTTGCCCCGCACGCACACCCGGCTCCGCTTAACTCCAATCAGGCTCGATTGCATCGGACAAGTGGAATAATTATTGCCCGGCGTCCTGTTATTGAATTATTAGCCACGAGCGCGAGTATAAATAAACCGCCTCTCCGGACCATCCCTTCCTCTCCCTCGTGGTATAATTCCTGAACGAGGGGAAAAACGAGGCGACGTTATGCTCTTGTTATCCGATATTGAATCCTATGAAAACTATGATTTCTAATTGGCTTCGATTTATCAATCGATGCGATCGCGAACGGTGATTAAAATTTTCAAATCAGGCGCGTCACGTGCCTCGAAATATTGTTATTTTGACTGTCAGCATTGGGCCGTTACACGTCTACTTAATTGACGTATTAATCGAGCAATAAAATAACAGTTAATCGGGCAACGATACGATCACGCAACGAAACGACGATTATAAATCTGCCGCCAATTTCTCGAGGATTTAATTAGACACGGCTCATTGAGTGGTAACGAGAGGGGATTCTCGTTGTCGATACGCGATAGATACACAGGTAGGGCGGAATGTTTTCAACGATCGTTCGTAAGGAAGGACGGTGTTTCGCGCGGGAGATTCAATTCAGGTGGCGGGAGAGTAAATATTCGAGATTTTATTGGCGCGCTCTATGCGAGCTAAAGCTGTGTAGCACCACCACGGCCAATTGAATCTCGTAAATCACTCGGGCAGACGTTATGAAAGCGAGGATGACTTAATGCGCTGTTACGGTAATGAGAGGCGAGAGACGCGATGTTCTCGTGCCGCTGTAACCAGCTCTCGTGATGCGCCTCCTTGTCCCCTGGCCCCTTTTCGGGAGAAGAATCGACGTTTGACGATCTTTCATGCAATCTTTTTCTTTTTTATAACATTGCAGGATCGTATTAAAATGATCGGTAAAAATATAAGACAAGCTCGCTTTATTCGTTGACGAATTTACGTGTTTAATAAAAAAAAAAAATCGAGAAACGATGGAAGCTCTCCATCGATTGCTTAAAAATTAAATTTTGAAATCGGGTTTCGTTCCTAAATAAACTTTCTGCCTCGTGAAAACATTTTCTTTCGTATATTTTCACAACAACCACGTGCAATTTCCTTTTTCCATGCGTCCAACGATGGCATGTATATCGGATTATTCGATTTAAAGCTAGCTTACAACAAAAGCTTAAAGATCGACAATGAACGTTTCCTATCCACGCGTCGAAGTCGCCGAGTCACGGGGATTTATTCGTTACGATCTTTCGTTTCGAATTTGATAATCCGTGTCGTGATACTCATTGGTCTTCTAAACGTTCTTTCCATGTTCCTTGTTGCGCGCGGGAATCGTGAATTTAAAAATTGTAGAAAATTTAACAGGAGTTTGAATATTTGTCGTTAAGAAACGATGAGGTTGTTTTCGATCCACGAGACAATTTGTCGAATAACGAAAGATGTGTTCAATATTTACACATTTTCAAGCATACGTTCGCCATCGATTTTCGAGCGCGCCTTTTAAATTCTAAAATATTTCCCTGTACACACAGTCGTTAGAGGGAACAGTTGGCGCGTTTCGAGAAAGTGTTACGGCGCGCTTTGCACGACCTTGGCACGGCGCGGAGACGCGCGTCGGAACGTTTCGCAAATTGCCGGAAATTTCCGTGGGAAACTTGCGCGTATTCTGGCCGAGAGCGGTGTAACGAGCACTCGGTATCGGTTGGCCATGCAGACTAGGCGTATCCTCTGACACGGCCCTGCACTTAGCCAACTACTTTTCTTCCACCGTCTTCTTCCAACCAAACTTTCTAATAAATATAATATCACATCTTTCTCCGCTTTTTAAACTCGCACGAGTGGAAAATTATCCACGTCCATTGTCATTATTCGATTCGTCTCTCCAAGTCCCCCCCCCCTTAAGAGACGTTAAATTGGAAAAAGGGAGCGAGGAGTTCGAAAGGTAACGATCGTCAGATTTTCCTCTGAAAAGAAAAAAGGGAGAAGAAACGAAGGAGTATAAAGGAAGAGCAAGAGAAAGGGCGTAATTACACGGCGAGAGGAAGCGACAATTTACATTCCTGGTCGCGCGTCGCCGTCTTGAAACCCCTATTTGTTGGGTGTAGCAGGTGTATAGCGTTCACCCCCATAAATGACCGGATATTTTCCGTGTCGGTACGTGCGTCGCTATAGGAAACGGTCACGAATTAGTGCCACGTAATGGCCGCTCGTGCAACAAGTGCAACTCGCAGGTATCAGGTGCATGCACCATTGGAGGAATAAGTACGTTGAACGTGGCCGTTAGAGGATCGACTGGAGAGCACGTGACCGAGACTCGCCTCGACTCCTCTCTTCCTCCCGTTCCGCTTATGCAAATGAACGAAGGGGCGGCGGCTCTCCCGATACCCGTTAAACAATTTCTCCGATCACACCAAATTTTCCAAAAACGCTCGCTGTCTTCTCCTCCACTGATTACACGCTAATTAAATACTGGGAGCTCGATTTTCCGAAAAGAGATGGGAAACGGGACGATCGGCGTTAAAGGAAAGGTATCGATCGAAAGGCTGTGGTGTCAGGTGCAGGGCGTAGGATAAGTGAACGCATGCCCACTACACTCTCGAACGGTGTTGTGTACACCCGATCGGTCGATCGGGTATCGCGCGGCATGCAAGGAGGCGGGTCAAGATTTATCTAGCAAATAACCTCCTGTTGCTCGCACGTACCGTGTGTGGCAAAAGTTTCTCCCTTCGAATTCGAGAGATTTTAGTCCAAAGCTTGGAGTCCCATCCGAGAATATTATCGTTCAGGTTACATCATATATTTATGTCGTGACTCTGTTTTTCACGGCACGCAAGAAGAGCAAACAATCGATAAAAGCGAGGATTACCTATTTACCAAGGGGATTGTAAAACCTGGCTCGGTTGTTCCCCGCGATTTTCTAGAACGGGCAATAAACTCGAGCAATAACTCGTCCCTCGTCCGCTTCAACACGTTTTCTAACGTTCCAACCGAACGAAAGTGCAAGTAAGAACCGTGCAATTAAACGATCCCGCGGAGGAAGAGGGCAGAAGCCTTCTCCATGTGTATATATATATATATATATATATATATATATAATAATAC